TTTTTTTTTTTTTTTTTTTTTTTTCCTTCCAATTGCGCTAGAGCCAAACAGGAGGCTACAATCAGTGCTGTTACCACAGGAATGGAGGACAGGATAGCACAGCACAGCTGCTCAATGGCAGGACGCTGTTAAAAGCCTTCCTTGCTGTCGCTCAACAGCAATTTCACCTTTTTGCCTAAATCTGGGAAGCTTTGCTGAAAGCACCTCTGTGCAGACAATTAGTAAGAGCCACCTAATTAACTCAACTAGAATTTCTTTACCTGCTGTTAGGGAGCAGGTCAAGATGTCCCACCATCACTGTATAACCATTGCTTCCCCATGGAGGAGGCTTCTGGGAAGACTTTTAGAGGCTAAGACGCAAAGTCACAGAATGACATGGGGTTGGAAGGGACCTCTGGAGATCATCTAGTCCAACCCCCTGCCAAAGCAGGGCCACCCAGAACAGGTTGCACAGGAATGTGTCCAGGGAGGTTTTGAATGTCTCCAGAGGAGACTCCACCACCTCCCTGGGCAGCCTCTTCCAGGGCTCTGCCACCCTCACAGGAAAGAAGTTCCTCCTCATGTTTAGGTGGAACTTCTTACACTCAAGTTTGTGCCCATTTCCTCGTGTCCTATCCCTGGGCACCACTGAAAAAAGACTGGCCCCATCCTCTTGACACCCTCCCTTGAAGTATTTCTAAGCATTGATCAGATCCCCCCCTCAGCCTTCTCTAGACTAAAAAGACCCAAGTCCCGCAGCTTTTCCTTGTAAGGGAGATGCTCCAGGCCCCTCATCATCTTTGTAGCCCTTTGCTGGACCCTCTCCAGCAGTTCCCTGTCCTTCTTGAACTGAAGAGCCCAGAACTGGACCCAGTGCTCCTGATGGGGCCTCCCCAGGGCAGAGTGGAGGGGGAGGATGACCTGTCCCAGCCTGCTGGTGACACTCTTCTTGATGCACCCCAGGATGCCATTGGCCTTCTTGGCCACAAGGGCACATTGCAAAGTCCCAGCAGCTTGTCCCACACCATCACCTGCAAGAGGTACTGGGGATCCTCACCGCTGCCTCCCCAACAACAAGCCCCAAGGAGGTGAATCCCCAGCCTGGAGGGAAGGAGCGACCTGCCTCTCCTGTCCCTGGTATCCCTGACCACAAACTACACTGACCACCCCTGGGCACATTTAGAAAAGGCACGGTCGTCTTGTCAACTCACAAGCTATTACTTTTAGCGAGCCTGGATCTGTATTTGCAGGATTACACGCTTCTTTCAAGCTGAGCCGCAGATAATGGCGCTTCCCTGGGCTGCGTAGTTTAAACAGCGGTGGGGAAGGAGCTCCAACAACAGCAATGGATTTAAGCAATTTACTGACATCTTTTGAGCAGTTTTCACACTATTAGGCTAGGACAAAATAATCTAAATCATTCATCCTCCTCTAGAGCTCCACAGTAACATTTGTGCAATGTATAAAGTTACAGATATTGTCATATTTTTTTTTAAAGAAATCTCTTAACTTTTTAAGAGACTACAACACTTTATTCTGGAGTATGCTTCCTTTTTTAAAAAAAACACAAGAGCACTCCCCACATCAGAGATGACCTGGAGAGATATGGCTCCCTTTTCAGCACAATACTTATGGCTTCAAAAAGCATACTACAAAAAGCTTACAATTAGGCACCAGCTTAATGAGGGCCTCTACCACGCTGTTCAGGGTAGGGAACGTTTTGAGTTTTCCTGGAGATTATTAAGTTATAAAGGGGTTTGCAGAATTTACAATTACAGCAAAGGTTTGTCACTGTTCTTCCCCAATTGTGTATTTTGCTGGGAAAGCAAACAATGCCAACAGAAATACCAACATTTAATTCTAGGCAAAGGCCACAACATACCATATTTATGTTTTGGTTCATTGAATGCTGTATTTGCATTAGAACTGCTACTGAGGGTCCAGCTCTGAGGAGGACTTGTCAGATACCTTCAGTGGCACCACACATCAAGACAGAAAAGAGCTTAGTGGGCTCTTTTTAAGGTCTCATATTCAAGACAATTTAAAATGAAGGGGTTTTCCCCAAAGCAAAAGAAACACAAGGCAGTACTATGTATTGTTTGAGGTCCCAAAACCATCTGATTGTTCAGATTCCAATAAACATAACTCAACAGTTCAGCTTCCTGCAATCATTACTATGGGGTAACCCTACAGAAAATGTGCAGAGCTGCACTGCTTTAAAAAGATAGCAAGCTTCTTCCCCCAAATGCAATCAGTTCATTCTATAGCTGTGACTTAAGACCTAAGAAAGACTTAAGAAGGAGTGAAACGTAAAGGTAAATGCTACCCAAAATATCAAACTGTACGTTCAGGTAGATGAATGTTGATGGGTGGCTCCTAGAGGGGACACATGGCTCAAGGTGGTGCCGGGAGTGGGCACCATCTTGGTGGTAGAGAACTGGGCAGCAGCTACGAACAGGCAGTGACAACCCAGAGCAACTCTGCTGCCAGCTGAGAGAGAAGAGTGGAGCAATACCCATCTCATCCTCCTGCCACCTTGCGTGGAGACTGTTCACAAGGGAGCCCCCTTCGCTAACCACAGTTGAGGCCCCAAATTTCAAACCAGACTTTTAAGGGTCAGCACAACCACCCACCCTGACGCCTGCTGACCCTTTGTGGGATCCCAAGAAATCTGAGGGTTTGGGCTGCACTGAACAGTCACATCTGGGGCGAAGACAGCAAAAGACAGTGGCAAACACCAAAGTTCTTGAAAAGACATGCAATGCGTTGGAATGGGTTTCTGGGGGAGTGCAAAACACTGACTGTCAATCTCTACTAGTATTTCGCTGAGATATAGGACTAAGTTGTGTTTAGGACAGGGTGGAATGGGCATTTCGTTCATATATGTGTGCAATTAATCAGTTTCTCTTATTGTTTCCCTTAATCTTTAATTATGTCAGGGCACTATAAAACTATGAATGAAAAAAATGGGAAGCAACTGAAATCAATGAAAAAGGTCCTATGAACATGCAAAGTTATTAGAGAAATACAAAGATTTTAATTAAAGATGCTGGCTCCGAGCAAAAATGCTGGGTTACCCTGATTGATCTAAGCTGCTGGTTCAGCTCTTTCTGTCTCCCCCTACCAGGCTCCTGCTTGCCTTTTGCTGCTCTAATTGGGTACTTCCTGCATCGGCACCTTCTTTTTCTCAGCAACATCAGCTGCACAAAGACTGTATAAATACAATTATGCTTATGCCAAACTGCTATACACATATACAGTCATGGAGCATTTTACATTTGCCGTATGTTGACATTTCGGGTTTGATTTAAAGGCTATTTTCCTTTTTTTGCATTCCCTCAGTTGGGCCTATATTTTAATTTAGATTTTTCTCTTTTGTTTCAATTATATTCCTCTAGGACAAAGTGCATAATCTGCCATTTTAATAAAATAATGTATTCAATTTATAAAAGTTTCAATTTCTATTCATACAAAAAGTAAAAAAAAAACCCACCCTAAACTCTTAACAGACATTAACAGCAAAAATAGTAACAACTTAACCACAGATTTTCAAATTTGATTAGCGACTTCCAAAAGCATTTGTTCTTGAGTTGTTTTTTTTTAAATTGGTTTACATTCTATCTAGTGGGTGCCCAATGCTCTTTGAAAACTTGAACATAGGATGTTCCATCTAAACATGAGGAAGAACTTCTTTCCTTTGAGGGTGGCAGAGCCCTGGAAGAGGCTGCCCAGGGAGGTGGTGGAACCTCCTTCTCTAGAGACATTCAAAACTTCCCTGGACACGTTCTTGTGCAACCTGCTCTGGGTGAACCTGCTCTGGCAGGGGGCTTGGACTAGATGATCTCCAGAGGTCCCTTCCAACCCCTATCCTTCTGTGATTCTGTGATAAATAGGTTCTTTTTTAAAGTATTGCCACATTAGCCTCTCCTGACACTGAAAAAAAGAATACAGTCTAGCTTTTAAATGTTTGATATTAACATTTACTAATAATTTTAATTGTAAAAGAAAAAATGGATTGTTACCTGTGTAAAACAGTACCCTGAAATTACATCTTCTCTACCTCCTAATAGAATGGTTTATTTTAAATTTCCTATTAATTGTTTTCTTAAATACGTAAATTTTCTTGTCACATTTAGAGCAACATTAGGACAGTTAGATGCAGGTGGTGTTTCAAATAGAGTGAGAAGTATAGCCAGACATTGCTGGAAGGCAACACACGAAGCAGCTCGGTAGATGATATTCATGCAAAAAACAAAAGGATTTTGATTTATTTTTTTTTTCTGTATGTAATTTGAAATGAAAGACACGGATTAAGATCTTTCATTTTTAATCCTTTTCCAGGAAAATAATTTAAATCTTATCTTGGGGGGGGAGGGGAGAAGCTCATTAGAATTTTTTGCTTCAGTGACTCAATAAAAAAAAAAAAAAAGAAATTATTAAAATGCAGATGTACCTCTGAGTTGTTTCTAGGAACAAAACTGTTTGACAGTGGGATGTAGTACTGCTGAAGTGTTTTCCTACTCACGTTTGAAAGACGTGCATTCCCAAGGTGAGTAGGTTCAGGTGTACGCTATGTTTGTGATACCATTCATCCTATCTCTGGCTTGTATCTAAGAATAACATTTATAAGCTTGAAAGCCAGGCGTGTTTTTTAAAGTCAGAAATGAAGGCAGCAAAAGCATATCACCACTTGCATTTTTATGTTTCGAGTCCCTACTTATATTGTTATTCTTCGCTTCAAACAGTTTTTAGAAAAACACTTATTGAGAAAGTGCAATGAAGAAATGCCCACTGCCAGCCTAATATTCATTTTTTTCCTTAAAACCTGCTGTTTACCCAAGGTGCTGCGAGGTCAAGGAGGCAAAGAGGAAGTCTATGAAACTACTGTCCTTGACAATCAGAGGCTGCAGAGTACACTGGAAGGTAAAAGGCCATAGAGTAGCTATTTCAAATTAGAAATGTGTGATCTGTGTATCTCCCTGGAACTTAGATGGCATATGTCTTTCTATAGTTTATTATTTTAAATCCACAGTTGTGCCTTTGCCTGTCCCCACTGTTTGGATTTGAGAGGGCAGTCACTGTGAAGAGAGAGATAGCTGTCACTCCTGGAGCAAACCTACCGTGCAGCTCTGCTAAGCTTCTGACTTCACAACACTGCAGATAAGTTTTTCTCTCTCTGGTATTATTACATTAATCCACCAAATCAGTTCACTTATCTGAGAGCAGTGCTTTGTAGGGGTTGATCCTGCCACGTGGACTTGTGCAGCCACACAGAGACCGGCTGGACTTTCCCACTCTACGGAAGGCTGGAGCCTCTGCTTGCTGGTGCAAAGGCCTGAGGCAGGATCACACCATCCTTAGAGAGTGTAAATGCCAAGGTTTTACACTATTCTTGGATAAGCTAACTACCAGGATAAGTCTACTCAAGTTTGGATTAATTACTCAGATTCTTACAGAGTTACTAGTTTTAATAGACCAAAAAGGCCTCCTGTAAGGGACAGAGAAAGAAACAGCACTAATTAATTCAAACCTAACCATGGTATAAAATAATTTGGTCAGTTTGGGTTTAAGTCCCTTTCTATTATCTACTTCACCGTGTAACCTTGATGTAAGGAGTCCTTCCGAGCACTGACTTCTTTGGGGCTTTCATAAAGACTGCCAGCAAAGGAAGGAGACACACTAGCTTGATTCGGATAAAAAAGGATCTGGTTAGCATCACTATCCCTGGTTCATTATGCAGTTACTCCTACAACCTGTCCTAAAGTGTTTTTAATTACACCTGTGGATAAAGCTCAGTATGAAATGGCAATTTAAGAACATGTTAACTGTAGCAGAGCTGTAACTGTCACCAGCTTTGCCAGCAACTTCAGCTGATGCTCCTGAATGAAAAGCAGCACCTGGGAGGGTGGCAGAGCCTCTGCAGACACAAAACTCCACCACACGTGCCCCTCGCTTTGCTGCGGGCAGGAGGTCAGCTTGGGTTTCCTGCTCATGCTCACTCACAAAGCGTTCATGTCAAGCTGTCTGCTATTTCTAATTTCCTCTTATCTCCCACTCTGAGTAGTCAAAAAAAAAAAAAAAAGCCATCGTTGCACTGTTCCTAATAAGTCTGCTATTTCTAATTTCCTCTTATCTCCCGCTCTGAGTAGTCAAAAAAAAAAAAAAAAAGCCATCATTGCACTGTTCCTAATATTTCCAACAAAAAAAGGCAGTTGACACTGGGCTCTCATCAGTTCAGACAGTTAGTTGGTGTACTTGCTTGATAGCGGTTAATGTGTCACAATCCTTTCCTCCTATCTACAAGTCAGCCAAAGAAACAAGCACAAGCCAGAGGAGCACTCTCTTGGGGACATATCAGCAACCATTTCATTTCCTAGGGAGAGTGACTCCAGTAAATGCAACCAATTTCCACGCTCCTAAATTTCAAAGAAAGGATATGTAAAGGATAGCTCTATTCCCATAAGGGGGAAAAAAGAAAAAACCTGTAGGAAAAGACAGCTCTCAATTTTCTCCTCTTTTATATTTGCTAATATTGTGACTGCACTTCTAGCTCCTTAGTGCCTATCTGAAGGAGCTGAAAGCACACAAGGAAGAAATTATCTCAATATCGTTCTTTTTTATTCATTTCAATGCTCTCTAAATTCAAGAGGACAGACAGACAGACAGTGTGAACAATGCTTCACTTACTACTTCTTCACAAAAACTCTATTATTCTCTTTCAGTACAACTCAAACACATTCTGAAGTCATATAAAGAGAACAATTCTGCAAGATAACTAATATTCCCAGGCTCCCACTGAAATTAACAGAGTATTTTGGCATTAGGAACTTTGCAGCATCAGGCCATCATTAAAGATCTCCAAATCTGCCTTGTAATTTTTTCTGTTCCTGAAGCATTCATTTCAGTGTACTCCAAAATAACCATAACTATTCTCTGGAGTCATGCTCCATGTTGCCGCCAAGAAGTGAAAAGAAAATTCAAGTTAGCTTAAGCATTTTTAGAAAGCACAAGGGAAGAAAGAAAAACATAAATTCATATGGGTGGAAAAAAAAAAGCAGGTTATCTGTTGGTAAAAACATCTGGAAAAAAAACAAACATAAATTCATATGGGTGGAAAAAAAAAGCAAAAAAAAGCAGGTTATCTGTTGGCAAAAACATCTGGAAAAAAAATTGAAATATTTTAGAATTCTACTAAACCCAGAATTTATCTTATCCTTTCACAATTAAAAAAGCTGGGTCCCTGTTACATCATTTTTCAGTCCTTTGTTTCTCAGGGTCTTGTATACTTACAGGTCTGGCAGTGATTCTCTGTGGGTCCCCAGCACCGGCCTGTGCAGGACTTGTGGCATCGACCACCTGCAGGACAGACAGGAAGAGAAAGATGAGAAATGTGGCTTCCTTTAATTTCTTCAACATCCAACAACTGCTGAAGAGGAGGGTCCATCTTGTCTTTGGAGTGGTTTTATGCTTTACCAAGGTTGAAACAGTGCCTGTAAAAACAGGCCCAGAAAAATAACCAGAATTGGTGTCAAACGTATATGAAATATGCCTACCTTTTAAAGTGCTTTATACCCTAAGTACATCCCTGCTACGTATAGTGACTGGGACATTTTAAACAAATAAACAAAAAAGATGAACAAGTCTGGAAGGCTGAGGAACAATTTTATCACCCAGTGCTATTATTGTTGCTCTCTACATCCATGTAAGACCCACTGATTCCTCCATAGGAATAGCTGCGCTAAAGAGGATATCTATCTATCTATCTATCTATCTATCTATCATCTTCCTACCTAGGTACCTATCTATCTATCTATCTCATGTTCAGTTTCATCTGAACAATGTGGTGATACACTCAATGCCTTTGATTAAAAGCCACCCCTCTCCCCCAAAAGCTTGCATAGTCTTCATGTCCAATATCACGGGAAAGGAAACGTGCCCTATGCAAGCGCTTAACCCCAGCAACAACTAAGCTCACAGGACCTTTCCTTTTCTGGCTGCTGGTTCTCTAGTTGCCTGCTGTTCTGCTTCTGAAGGAATCTCATGTTCCTTCAGAACCTAGAGGTGATGCTCTACATGGTCCTTCCATATACTGAAAAGTTTACTTCCTCAAGAAAAGGAACCGTAGGTGCTTTCTTTGTAAAATACAGATGGAGGAGGAAGAGTTAGCAATAGCAGCTTCTATAAACTGTGTAGTGACTGAAACCAGCTTGGACTGAAGAGGGACTTGAGTTCACCCTGACCACTACGCGAGGAAACGGAAAGCAGGCAGAAGTACTGGCACATTCTCCTCTGGCTGCATCTGATGCTATTTGAGAAAACACTCGAACAGTCCCACACTAATCCTGACTGCAAGTGAACAGAGACCTCATTGCACAGCTCCCATCCAGACATGGCCAGAGCTCGGTCCCACTCCTCCTTGTAGTGCTTCCCCCTCCTGAATGCCAAACAGCCCCAGAGAATGCACGGAGAGCCTGCCTTACTGCACCTAAAGTTTAGCACCTAAAGCTGCTGAACCCCAGGTGTGGCAGTGCCTGAGGTGGAGGCAGCCAAGCCCTTTTATACCCAGCCAAAGCTGAAGGGACAGGCTGAGAAACTGAATGGAAGCATTGTTCCTATGCACAGTCCTTATCACTGCTTTTTTGACCACAGGAGCCTAACCACATTTCTGATTAAACTTTTATTCATCACTGAATACTGCTGAGATTCTATTAAGCAAATTTCCCCTTTGAACCCGATCCAGAAGCTTACCTTTCAATCCTATATTAACAACAGCTGCTGTTAACGCTGCTCTATTACACTAAATCAAATACTTCCCACGTGCCCTGATGGGAGACAACACTGGAGAAAATGCAAAATGTCTCTCAAAGGTTGGATCGCCCCAAAAGAAAACCCTGCTCCTCTGCTAGCAGTGTGCTTATGCCTCAGAGACGTCGTAGAGTTGAGCAAATCCACAGTGATAGTTGTGTAAAGTTCTGACTTTGTGTCACTACTTTTGCAAAGCTCACATCCTTCCCCAGGCACTCTCCACAGCATTCGTGGTGCTATTGATGATGCTGTATGGTAATTACCACACTGCATGCCAACTACCTTGTTAAAACTACCAGCTCCTTGCTGCATTCATGTTCATTTAAAGCAATTATACTCGGGAAGGGTTGTTGCTGACATCACCAGCACATAATTTGCTGTCACATTCTGCCATCTGTTTATTTAGATCACAAATGTACTATAACTACATAACGCAAACTCATTCTGGCTGACAGGGAGGGGACTCCATCTGGCATGAATAATGCAACTTTAATCAGTAATAACGATTATTATGATTATTAAGAGACTACTGAAACCCTGTGCAGAAAGCAAATACATCCGTATTGATTTATAAGAATGGAAGTTTAAAAAGAAGGCGAGGTAAACAGCAAATTAAAGGAAGAATTTTAACAGAGCTGACTCAGTAGGATACAGTTTGTTTGTTGGCTTTGGTGCTTCACCCAAGGGAGTAAAAATGGTCCCCAGGAAGTGGGTTTTATAAATGGGCTATCCCTGACCAACAGAGGAAGTGGGAAGGAGAAAGGGTAGGGCCCCGGATGCATGCTCAAATGGTCTTTTCACCACTTGCTTTGCTCAGTCCTCATCTGAGTAGGAGCTTCCCTGCTGAGGGCAGCTAGTGAAGAACCACAACCCACGCACAGCAGAGCCTCCTCTTGCAAGACTCTATTTTATGCCCGATCCTTCCTTGTGGTCACATCTCATGCCTGTTTAGCTTAAAGGGTCTGGAGTTTCGGGAGAAAGCCAGAAGCCCTGCAGCTGGATGCAGTATAAAGCACTGCAGAGATCAATTGTAGCCAGATATACCTGATGCAGAACATGGCACCAGCTTGGCTGTTTCTTCCTCTTTCTGTCCCTGGATTCTATCTCCTTCCAAAACACATTGTACGCTCCGGGCTTTCCACTGCAGTGCTTGCAGTGAGGTAACAGAGGAGAAACTTCAAGCATCCCTCCAAGTGATCTCTAACTGGAGAGGCCGCCCACACTTCTGCAAAAGCTATACTTAAAATAAAAATCTTCATACCTGAAACTTCTAGGTGCTGAGCTGACCCTCAGTACACAACCTACAATGTTATTCAGCCAACTCTACTCCTCCTGGAAATAAAAATGATCCAGCATCTTCAAAAACCATTTTAAAAACTTCTTTAACTTGCACGCCTGCTTCCTGGTACATGACTTTGTTTGGCAGTGTCAGATGATCATTTGCATTTAAATAGAGATATTTAACAATATAGCAAGAAAAGGCTGCCAGTTTTCTTTTTTTCTCATTGGGAACTCCAAGTATCTGCTTCATTGTTTTCACTTTTCTCAGCTGCACAGACACAACAAGGAGCTGAGCTTGTAGGCAGCACACCTCTGAATTGCATTATGTGTCTGTTTGAAGGTCAAATATACTGAGAATTAAAAACAAAAAAACAAACTCCCTCCAAATAGTGTGCCTATTTTGGTTTGTTTGTTTAAAAGGAAAAATAACTTTCTTTGGTCTCGGTATGAAATGGTCTAAGTTCTGCCCTCACGTAGCTCAGTATTTCACCTGGTTTTCCCCACTGTAATAAGGACAGATTGCTGCCCATTAAAGATCAGCTCTGTAAATCTAACACAAAAATAGTCCCATGGAAGTAAACATAAGTAGCCAGGAGCATAAGGAGCACTCATGTGAGGACCAGGTCTCAATGATTAGATATGTATATCAGGCTTAAACGCTAATAAATCTATTGACCCTAAGACTGATGAGGTCCTTGAAATAATTATACTACTTCTCACAGATTTTTCTGTATATATTTCTTAGAATTTTTAGATTGTAGTGAGCCAATAGATTTGAGAAAAAGTCATCAAATAATTCTTGGCATAAAATAAACTATTCCCGTTATTCCTTGTGTCTCTGAAACCTTCTAAAACCCTCCAATATACAGCAGCAAGGGCTAAAAGAAACAACTAATGAAGAAATGGCAAACCATGAAACTGCAGAAGGGCCTTCCTTTTGTTTTGATGCAGCAAAAAGCAGAGAGGTAGAATTCCTTCCTATGATTTCCTCCACTGGTTCTTGACATCAAAAGATGCTGAGTGTCCTAAAGTCCTGGTGGCAACTCAGGGGATCTAGGAACACTCAGCCGCAGTGAACCAGTCCATCTGTAACAACTTATCGGATATGTTCTTATTACAATCAGTGATTCAAGAATTAGCTGGAATTGGGGAAAAAAATTATTCCGCAGGGCTCTACCTTGTAAGCACTACCTTGCCCATTCACTTAATTCTTGCACATTAGCGAAAGCGCATAAGAAAAATGTGGGGGGATTTTTGTTTCCTAAATGAGATATGGAGAGGAAGAACCTGGAAATGTCTCCTGCCTCATTACAGCTGTGATGCTGGAGTACCTTTCTGCTCCTGAGTAGTAGCATTGTTTGGCGTACACGATGACATTTTTTCATTAGATTGCAGAGAAGGAGTTAAAAGGAGGCTTACATAATTTTTACAGGGTTTGTTATGAAACCTAATTTTAGAAAGGGCAGATTCCCACTGGAACATGAGAATTACTTTTGCTTTGGCAGATTCCACATGGAATACCAATGACTCGTCTCCTGGACTCGTCTTCCCTTCGCCAATACTACTGCAACACATCCTCATTATGGACTCTGGCACAGAGTATCATTGCTGCAATTTCCAGGATATAGTTTTATCGAGGGAGATGCTTCTGCTCTCCCAGCCAGAAAAAGTCACCAGCAGAAAATGTTTGCTCACTAGCTTGGGAAAGACCAAGGTTACTTCATCCTTGTGCTTTCCTGAGAATTGAGAAGGGCTTTCCTTTGGCTCCTGGCTGACTTTATTATTTCAGGAACAGTAAAACCACAAAGGATTAAGTTACTGACAAGACAAGAAAAATGAAGTCCTCCTCTTAGCTCTAAGCTCAGCATAGCACAGAGAAGACACACTGCTTCTTCCCCATCAGTTATGCCAGCTGCCTCGAGCAGACCTCTCTCAGTAGGAGAAGGAAAGCAGAAATAAGAGAAGAAATAGTCTCACTTTGCACAAAGCTTGCATTTACAGATGGTTTCTACCAGGTTAATAAATCATTAATAAAGGTTAGCGTACCTGCAACACGCTGATACTGAAGTGTGAATAAACACAGCCAAAATAAAGTGGCTTTGATGGTTACAAGCCATGGTTATAAGCAACCTCTTTACTTATCTAACAGTCTGAAATAATTGATTAACTATCAAAACATCTATAAATCATTTATTAGTTTCTGTAAGCTACATATAAACTCATCCTTCACCTAAAAAATTCACTTGTGCAAAAATGCTAGAGATGCCATA